GTATAGGTAGCTACAGGTATAGGTAGCTACAGGTATAGGTAGCTACAGGTATAGGTAGCTACAGGTATAGGTAGCTACAGGTATAGGCAGCTACAGGTATAGGCAGCTACAGGTATTTTAAATATCTCTCACTAAGAGTGGTTAATTAATATTCAACAATAATCAGAAGTACTATTCATCAATAGCAAACTTAAGTTTCTTGAATATCACTAACACTCTATGTAATATGCAGCTATATTATTATAACAAGCAGTATTATTATATAACAGGATACTTAATTTTCTACCATTCAGGCTTTTCTGCAGCATCAAGACAATCACGACCATTACTAAGATGTAACTACTGCTTCAAGACTTTCCCTCGCAATAAAGAAGATGCATATGAACAGCATTGCAAGTTGCACACACAGGAGACATCTCAAATAATTGACTGCACTATCTGTTCTGAACGATTTACATGCGACAGTGAGTTAAGAGAACATATGAACACTCACGCTAACAGTAAACCTTATAAGTGCATGATATGCTCTGAGGCATTTTCTATTGCTGCACACCTTAATGAACATTTGAAGATACATGATCGTCTGACTGCAGGTGGACATACAAGCTAATAATTATGATGATGATATGTTGGCTAAATAGTTTACCTTTTGAAATGAACATACAAGTGATGAATCTGCAAACATGGTTTCAAAGACCAACCTARATAATAATAATATAAAACGATTAGCATGTCAAAAGGTTCTATAACAATACATATAGTTGTATTATATAATTAATAAGGAATGCTTGTCGTATCTTTTGTGTTCTTCTGTTACCAGTTTTATACGGCTGCATGCAGGCCATGTGGTGCATATGTTGTGTGCAAGCTTTGCTTTGACTGCATGATTAACCTTACTTGGGAGTTGTTTCCCAATGACTGCAGTTTGTTAGATATTTACTGATTCATCAAATTCAATCTCTTTAATATGATTCTATGAAAATAATAGTTTTATATTACAGCATTTTAGACGCTGACAAATTGTTATTTGCAATGCAAAAAAGGATGAAAATATGAATAGAAATGATAGGGCTGGACCCAGGATATCTTATGTTAAGGTTTAAAAAAAAATATATCAATGACAAATGCTTTCACAAAGTGCCACCAGACAGATGATAAGAGATATATATCTAGTTTGGTTCTCCTCTAAGCAGACCTTTCCAAATACTGTCATGCCAGTACCAGACCTAGCCTCCTAAGGCAACTTTTTCCCCTCCTTCACTGCTTCCTGTGACAAATACTGTTGTCCATGAAGGAGGCTAAGTCCAGCACTGAACCTGGTACAGAGTTCCTGTGTGAATGCAACTTGAGCATAATGACCTTAATAGAGGCTGGTGTCCTGCAAGCTATATGCACCATGTGTGTACAGAACCTGGAAAAGTCACGAATATCATTTAGTCATTCAGCCAGCTGACATCTCAAAAAAACATACTGTGGAGTGACATCTCATATCAGGTTTAGAGTCAGGACACTTCACTCATGGTCCAACAGACAATATTGTAGCACCTATTAGTACTTAGTGTACTCAAGTGTAAATGTTTCACTCTCACAGAAGCAAATATCTCTGTTAATATCATTGTAAAGAAATATAGTTTAAACAAATAAATATCTTAGAAATTGATAACTTGATATTGTACATTTTGATGTCTTTTCAGCCTTCTCTATATTACATAGATCTATTTTTGTGAAAATACCAGGGGAGAGGGAAAGGAGTGTAGCATGTAGGTGATGAGAATGCAACCTCCTCATAAAACTGCAGATTCCTTTGGTATACATTGGGAGAAGGGACAAGATGAGTACAAATTATTGTGGCATACATTTTTTGTTTGTGGGCATGTCAAAGAAGGCAGAGTGCATGTTGTGGTACAAGTGGTTTGCAACTCACTTAACAACAGATTTGTGAAAAGGGGGGGGGGGGGGGGGCGCTGGAGTGAAGGTTATATAAGAAACTTTGTTGCTCATAGTGTGGAAACCCTCCACTACACTGTGTGTGCACAGATGACATATTCTGYAATGCTTGTTTGAAAACAATTATGCCCTGCAGCTTTAGCTGCCTAGCACTTCAAAACATTCTGAATTAATAAATTTTGTAAGTTGAAATATTTATTTATTAAGCAGCAAATAGATTATTACAGATGTTATTCTTTAAATAAATCCTTAATTTATAGTTTTATACAATAAGATGACACCAATATACATATTTCAAAAAGAAAATTAAATAATATTTATGATAAAAACACAGGAAGCAAAACTTTTATCTCCAATAAATAAAACGCTGATTGTCATATAAGATATAGGTGACTTAATTTATACACAGTAATAACTATATAGAATTATATAAAATATTTCACTTAATTAATGAAACAATTGCTGCATGAAATATTAAATAATATGTTATAATTTGAACAATAGAATGGTTTTCAAAACTTTGTGAATTACACTTTAGCTAGTGTATAGTACACTTCATGCCTTTTCTGTGTTACTATTACATTTTTTAACTATAATTTCACTTTGAATATACAAATTATGTTGGACGGTTTTTATGAAAACTACTCTAATGCAAGTCCTCTGTATTTTATCCCAATTAAATTATGTGTAGGGATTTTATTTCTCAGATCTCATAAAAGCACACTACAATATCAACTTTATAAGTTATCAGCACACCAAAATAATAAATATTTTATATCAAATATTAGTCATGCTAGCTAGTATTACAGGATATCACAACTCTACTTGCAAATTGTTAAAAATGAAGTAGATTATTTCCTATGCACTACGATCAGAGATGTGATTCTATTTATCACACGTAATACTATTTGTTTTCCACTTAACTTTACGACTACATACCCTGTCATGGTCAAGTTTCATAGCTTCACCAATTAACACAACTACCATAACTATATAAGTCCAGCAGAGATGTTATCCATGGGTATATCCAGGATTTTCATTGGGGTGTAATCCTTACATACAAAATTGTCACAGTGACGTCATATCAATGGTTTTCACACATTTTTGGCTTTGAAAGGGTGGGTCACGGGCACCCTGTGCCCCCCTGGATGCGCCCCTGGTTATCTAGTCCTTGTTCAGTTATACACCTTTATACTAATATTATTGTTAGTATAAACATGTTGGTATTATGGCCATACATAATATATTGCCTAAAAATAATTCTAAATTACTGTAAAAATTAGGGTGATAGCAGGCAGCATTAAGAAAGCATAAATCAACGTCCTTGTCTTGATTGCATATATCTATGGATTAATGAAAGGTTTCAGGGTTAATGAAAGATAAAAAGTGTGTGGATGTTAGAGCTGTACTGATACTCTAGCATTAACCTTATTTACAATTATCATAAATGAT